AAGTATTGTTATGGTCTCCAAAATTAGTTTTAAGAGTCTGGTGATCAGTAGTGTTAAATGTCTGAGATAAATCATTATTTGTGATGTTTTTCTTTCTGAAGAGTGTGATACACTTTTGCTTCTTCATTATACTTTTTTCCTGACTTTTTTATAATAGTTTTTAATAATTTAAAAGATAAAATGAACATAATGGTATATATAATTACATTTTGTACTAAAATTCTGTATTTGTGTGCTTAAAGACTTGAAGGGAATGTATCAAAATGTTAATGGAAGTTAGGTGAGATAATAGGTAACTTATATTCTTTTTGACCATCAATGTTTTCTTTTTTTCTATAATATACATGAGTTTCTTTTATAAAAAAAATTGTTAGATCATGAATGTTTTTCATGTAACATTCTTGATAATCTTAGAATAGTGTAGAGAATGGAATGATTCCAGTTCACAGTAGATCTGTATAATGAGGAGAGGACAGTACGGGTAGACTACCCTTGGCTTAAAAGGAAGAAGGAGCAAATGGTACTAACTAGAGAGAGACATAAGATCAATAGAGAGGTTTGCCCTTTTTTTTGTTTTTTAATGGGAAAGATTTTAATAATTATATTCTGAGGGAAAGGGTTAGAGGAAGAGAATGCTTGTAGATAAAGGAGAAATGGGATAACTGAGTAAAACTTGGGCTGGATGCCATTTAGGGCACAGGGGGAACATTAATCTTGGACAAGGAAAGAGTCATCTCTGAGTCAGAAAAGGAGGGGTGTAGATACTGTTATTTTTGTAGGTGGGAGGGCGATTTATCTGAGTGAAAGCTGAAGGAGTATTCATTAGACAGCCTCGGTTTTTCAGTGAATTAACAGGCAAAAGATCATCTCATTGGATTGAGAATCTGAGGAAAGCAAAGGAAAGTTGTAGAGGACTGAGGGGGGTGATGATGCCACTTAAAAACCTCTTATTTGATCTGGCCAGGTCCTCACAGTGTCTATTCTCAACCCAAATCTTGTGCTTGATTTTTAGATGCAGAGGAATCACTTGGCACGCCACCTCCAAGAGAACACCCAGTCACACATGAGAATGTTGGCCCAGGCTGTTCATAGTTTAAACCTTGCTTTAACTCCCATCTCTCAACGTGATATGCTTCCGTATGATCCTGCCTCTCTGTCCCGGGTTTCCTCTGGGTGTCACCCAGAGGTCCAGAATTTCCAGGAAACCATCCACCAGTTGGAGGGTCGCCTTGTAAGACAAGACCATCAAATCCGGGAGCTGATTGCTAAAATGGAAACTCAGAGCATGTATGTAAGTGAACTCAAACGAACTATTCGAACTCTTGAGGACAAAGTTGCTGAAATTGAAGCACAGCAGTGCAATGGGATTTACATCTGGAAGATTGGCAACTTTGGGATGCACTTGAAATCTCAAGAAGAGGAAAAACCTGTTGTTATTCATAGCCCTGGATTCTACACAGGCAAACCTGGATACAAACTGTGCATGCGCTTGCACCTTCAGTTACCAACTGCTCAGCGCTGTGCAAACTATATATCCCTCTTTGTCCACACAATGCAAGGAGAGTATGACAGCCACCTCCCTTGGCCCTTCCAGGGTACAATACGCCTTACAATTCTCGATCAGTCTGAAGCACCTGTAAGGCAAAACCATGAAGAAATAATGGATGCCAAACCAGAGCTGCTTGCCTTCCAGCGACCCACAATCCCACGGAACCCAAAAGGTTTTGGCTATGTAACTTTTATGCATCTGGAAGCCCTAAGACAAAGAACCTTCATAAAGGATGATACGTTATTAGTACGCTGTGAGGTGTCTACGCGCTTTGACATGGGTAGCCTTCGGAGGGAAGGTTTTCAGCCACGAAGTACAGATGCAGGGGTATAGCATCCTCTCACTTGTTCAGAAAAAACTATGTGAAGAAAACAATGCCTTTCCTTGCCTTGTTCTCAATAATAATACGCAAACAAAAAAAGTAGTGAGGAAGATGTAATGCCCACTAGAGTATGTTAAGTCACGACTTCTTCCTGTTACAGATGTCTGAGGAAGTTTTTTCTTGGAAATCTGCACATTCGACGTTTTTTCAAAAATGTTACTTCTGAGATGCCTTTGGCTGTTGCATCAGCTATTTAGTTAGTTAGTATACCTCTTTCTTGTATTTTCTTGGGCTTTGCTACAGTGTGTTTTATTGTCTAAAGCCCAGAGTTGGAGTACTGATGTCCAACCTTTAAGAAGAATGAACTTTTATTAAAACTTCAATTTTTATAGTATTATATGTAATATATTAAATGTGAGAATCACTACTGTCTTGTGCTGGTACCACCTGAAAGAAAATGAGCCGAATCGCTGGGTACCATTCAAGCTTTATTAAAGGAAGAAAAACCTGCTGAGCTGTGCTCAAAATGGCAGGGGCAGCTGCCGCTAAAGGGAGGAGGGAGGCGTATATGGG